AATCGTGAAATTATAAGGGAGAACTTGTCTTAGTGGGTCCATGGCTGATATGGTGATGAGGTGGGCAATTTTTCCCACTTGGACACCAACTGTGCTGAGGTGGCAATTTGTGCTGGGATTTTTATCGGGGTGATGTTATTGGAACAATTTTTTTATCTTATTTTTTAATATAATTTTCATGTGTTATTAAATAAATAAATGTATTTAATATCATGAGTCCTATATTAATTAAAAAAACTTATCATTTTAATGATATGTCGGATTGTATAAAAAGATAGAACAAAAAAAATGTACCAATATCATTTTCCTTTTTACCTCCCAAATCTGTACTCTTTTACTTATATATTAATTAGTGGTTCAAAAGTATTAAGTAAGATATACGTACTAATTAGCTCTAATAACTATTTATTAGGTGGAATTTAATTGTTTTAATTTAATTTTTATATAAAGTTTGACTAAATAATTCTATATAGTAAAGTAATAATAATTAAATTTATTTTTATTTATTAAAATATTTTACTTTAATATATTAAAACAATTTTGAATTTTTCTTAAAAGAAAAGTCGTCATGACTCATGAGGTCCACCCTTCGGGTCTTGGTACCAACCCTTGATTTTCTCAGATGTACGCGTTAAAAAAATACTGCAGCCAGCAGACTTAAGGGCGGAACTAAATTTAAATAAATAAATAAAAAGCAGAAAATAGCATGGCAGCTTTGTCACTATGTCACCATGTGTGATCCATATGGTTACGTGCGAAACAATTTTGTCCTAATATATTTCTGTGGTATTGTTTTCTTTCAAATGAGCCTTTCAATTTTCCTTTCGTGGATTATTTTAATTTTATGGAGAATTAATTTGAAAAATTAAGAATCCCTCTTTCGATACATGAATCCACTCATGCCTTAGTCATGATTCATAAGGCACTCTAATATTTTACTACAAGATATAATAAAATAATTAAAAAATTTTATTAGTTGAATTTTTAAAAAATAATATATTATTTTATTATTCTTGTTGTTTTAAATTGTAAAATAA